TCTTTAAAGTAAGAGTTTATGAGGAGGCTTTATGAGCTTATCACTGGAATTATTCTCTATTCTCTTCAATGTTAGCAAACTTCTGGTTTTGGGCGAAAATGGATCTCTTGGATTACAGAAGTGTGTCTCTACTCCGTGTAACTGCTAGAAATTTCAATGCTTTGTTACCAATTGGATCTCCACAAAAGATCGTATAAATACCCAAAAAGGGCTCAGGACAAGGTGACCCCTTGTATCCATCCATTTCTTGAGTTCAATTTGGATAGTCTGAAGTAATAAGCATTAAATATTCTCTCTTTAGATAAAGTCTATAGGACCTGAGATTTTGGCTTAATAGGTGTATCTGTTGGGGTCAATGATGAGGTGCAATTGTCCACCTTCAAGTTTTGCAAGAACGATTCCCTTTTATTCTGTGAAGGCTGAGACTATCAGCAAGTGCTTAAATCGTGAAACAAAGAATCTAGATGCTTTGGGAGGGCTTCAGGGTTTAAATCAACTCCACAAAACTGTGACTTTGAAAGGGATTGTCATCTCCGGATCTGTCCTTCCGCGGGATTATGCTTGCCTCTTGAACCGGCAAGTCTCAAAATCTAAACCAATCAAGTATCTCGGACTACCCTTGGGTGGCAAACCCAAGAGAAAGAAAACTTGGAAACCCAGTAGTTGATAAGGTAAAACTAAAGGCTACCGGTGGAAAAAGAAAGCTACTATCTTTTGCATGGTAGATTAAACGCTTGGTGAAAGGCAGTGTTAATCAAGTAAATAACTATATACTACTTATCATTATTTAAGCTAACCTGAGGGAATTGGCAAGGAGTTAGACAAAATTTAAGCCTCTTTCTTATGGGGTGGGGGCCAGAATCTGGAAGCGGCACAATTCATTTAGGTGAAATGGTGCAGAGGTTCTAGACCAATTAGCAATGGTGGTTTGGGTGTTTGAAGAATTAGAGATGTGAATGTGTGTCTAGCTCTAAAAATGGTGGTGGATGATTTGGGCTTCTGAACCTGTGTCACTTTGGGTATAGGGTGTTGGGAATGGATTCCAAACCCAAGTTTAAACACCTGCCATCCTCTTATATCTGGAATAGCAATAGTGGGGCAGTAAGGTGTCAAATCCAGTCCTTTTCCCTTTACTATGCTAGCAACCTCACAGTTAAAAGTGGCAATCAATGGCTTGTTTAGTTCTGGTGCTGACTCTTGGGTGGAAATGCTTTGGCCTGAAGAGGAGTTCCCTAGGACTCTTCAGTTTATCTTCAAGCAAAAGGAAAGCCTGCTTAAGGATTTTGTAGAAAGTCTCTGGCACTCTAAAGAAACTGGTTGTTCACATTTAGGAGTTCTCTTTTGGTTTGCGCGCCAAAAGAATGAACTGCCAAGGCTATATGGCTTAGTAGGTCTAGCTCCTTCCATTCAGCTGGATCCCAAGGACAGTGCAATTTGGAGAACAGCCAAAGCCCGGGCAATTCTTTTTGTGTCCAATCTTTACAACCAAACTAGCAGGGACTCTGGAGGCACTGAAAGTTCAAGTCATCTGGTTTGAGACAACCCCATTTTTGACCGGACCTAAGACTCAGACAGTCACCATTGAGGCGCCTTGGTGATGTTGCAAATATCGTGCTCGTTCAATGAAGTCTCAGAGTCGCGGGCCGGTGAGCAGCTGCTCCGGAATTTCGCGAACCCATCTTCTGTGGCCTTGCCTCGGTTTGCGAACGCAGACTCAGTTTTTCTCTGTTTCTTTTTATGAGGGGAAGGAAGAGGTCCCGTAGACGCATCCTCTGCAGTGGCCGTGGGCTACATTTTGTGGGCTGTAGGCCATTTTGCCCATTTCGGAGTCAGCCCGGTTTCGCGGTTTTTCGAGACCGGTTGGCCGTGTGCCTCGGTTCGGGACCGCTTAACCATCTCCTTTGTTCGCTGGTTTTTGGCCATACTTCTCTATTTACTCCTTTTTGAACGCGACACTGAGGTCTGAGAGATCCACTTCGTGGTCGATAGTGCGCACTCTATTCAGGTTGGCTTACGCGGGCAATCTCACAGTTGTTTCTCGGTGCTATACACTGGGCCCCGACTGCGCGCTGGTCTGGGCCCCCGAACATTCGTTTTGCATCGATTTTGTATCATTTTTGGCAGGTACGACCACGATGGCATTCTGATTCTCATCAACCAGGAAGGCCGTTAGAAGGGTGGGCATAGGTCCAGGCAATTGTTTCAGGGCAACTTTTTTTTTATTCTCCGGTGCCTCCGACGCCTTCGTATTTTTTCTCCTTCTCAAGCTAATGTTGAAGCAACCTTTGTGGGCCCCATTTTCTTGAAACTTGTAACCCATATAATGTGTTGGTACACTCACACAGGAGCGACAACCTGAAAAGTGGTGCGCGGCCAGTAATTCTCTGACCCTTTTGAACCCTTCCTAAAATGGCTGTGTTTTCTCTCGCTGTTTCACTGTTGCCATTTTGAACCACAAGGTTGTGTTGAGAATTGGTGGCACCTAGGAGGACAACCATCTGTGTGGCCTTCAACGCCATTAATCACCTTGACCCTTTGACGCCCTGGCCGGCCGGCCATGGGGAGTGGCCGGCCGGTCAACTCTGCAGCTCCAAAAACTAGCACGGCCTCTGCTCCTCAGGGTGAGTAACTTTTAGGCAAAGCTGTATAGTTGTTATCACTCACTCAAATATAAGACTGGTATCCGCGGGGGCGTCTAGCTTTTGGGGAAAAACTTTGGTCTTTTTCCCCCCAACTCTTTCCTCCTTCTCCCTCCCTCTCACCGAGCCATCAGACACACAATATGACCAATCAATGATAAACCTACATAACAGTGGATGAACCCCACAACTGAAATTCAACTACATTAATTAAGAACAATGTTCATATAGAAAGTGCAAAATAACTACAAATCCTAGTCTACATCAAGATCCATATCGTAATCCACATCAGGTTCGTCACACTCTTCATTTTGTTTGTCAGCTCTATTCTCCATCATTGTTTCATCAGATGACCTAACCCTTGTAACAACTTCTGCCTCAACACCATCTCTATAACATTGAACATTAGGGCCGATGTCAATTGGAACAATATCGGTAATATTTTCTTGTTGGAACACATTGTTTTCTTCTGGTTCATCTAATGATTCTCCATCACCTACCTCTAGTACATCAAAGACACCCCTATGTTGCACTCGTTGAACAACTTGCCAAGGTTGTCCCCATTTAGTATCATTTAGGTAAAAGACTTGCTTAGCCTGGCTAGGCAAGATGAAAGGATCGTGTTGATACCACCGACTTGTGACATCAATACTTATGCAATAATCATCGGTTCACAATGTTCTACTTCGACCTGTGTTTCCTGTGTTGTACCGCCCACGGCCACTGAGAGATGGTCTACGGGACCTCTCCCTCCCCTCAGGAAAAGAAACAGAGAAAACCGAGTCTGGTTCGCAAACCGAGTCAAGGCACAGAAGAGGGTTCGGAAATCCGGAGGCAGGGCTCACGGCCGCGACTCTGAGACTTCTGAACGAGCACGATATGCAACATCACCAAGCGCTCAATTGGTGACGTCTGAGTCTTAAGGTCGGTCAAAAATGGGGTGTCTACAACCAGATGACTGAAACTTTCAGTGCCTCCAGAGTCCCTGCTAGTTTGGTTGTAAAGATTGGACACAAAAGATTGCCCGGGCTTGGCTGTTCTCCAAATTGCACTGTCCTGGGACTCCAGCTGAATGGAAGGAGCTAGACCTACTAAGCCATATAGCCTGAGCAGTTCATTCTTTTCCCAAACAAAAAGAGACCTCCTAAATGTGAACAACCAGTTCTTAGTAGTGCCAGAGACTTCTACAAAATCCTTAAGCAGGCCTTCCTTTTGTGAAGATAAACTGAAGAGCCTAGGGAACTCCTCTTTCAGGCAAACATTTCCACACCAAGAGTCAGACCAGAACCTAATACGACAGCCATTGCCCACTTTTAACTGGAGGTTGCTAGCATAGTAAAGGGAAAAGGACTGATTTTGATCACCTACTGCCACTATTCTATTCCAGATATAAGAGGATGAGGTGTTTAAACTTGGGTTTGGAATCCATTTCCCAACACCCTATACCAAAGTGACACAGGTTCAGAAGCAAATCTCCACCACCATTTTAGGAGTAGACACACATTCACATCTCTAATTCTTCAAACACCCAAACCACCTTGCTTTATGCTCTTAGTAACCTCTGACCATTTCACTAAATGAATTTTGCGCTTCAGATCTGGCCCACCCCATAAGAAAGAGGCTTGAATTTTGTCTAACTCCTTGGCAATTCCCTCAGGTAGCTTAAATAATGATAAGTAGTATATAGTTATACTTGATAACACTGCTTTCACCAAGGTTAATCTACCTGCAAAAGATAGTAGCTTCTTTTTCCACCCGGCTAGCCTTAGTTTTACCTTATCAACTACTGGTTTCCAAGTTTTCTTTCTCTTTGGGTTTGCACCCAAGGGTAGTCCTAGATACTTGATTGGTAGATTTTGAGACTTGCGGTTCAAGAGGCAAGCAAACTCCGCAAGGACAGATCCGGAGATGACAATCCTACAAATCACAGTTTTGTGGAAGTTGATTTTAAACCCTGAAGCCACTTCAAAGCATCTAAGGATTCTTTTTCAGATTTAGCACTTCTGATATCTCAGCTTCACAGAATAAAAGGGAATCGTCTGCAAATTGAAGGTGGGACAATTGCACCTCATCATTGACCCCAACAGATACACCTTTAAGCAATCTCAGGTCCATAGCTTTCTGAAGGAGAATATTTAATGCCTCAACATCCAAATTGAATAAGAATGGTGATAAGGGGTCACCTTGCCTGAGCCCTTTTTGGGGATTAAACTCTTTTGTTGGAGATCCATTGACAAAGATTGAAATTCTAGCAGTAGAGACACACTTCTGTATCCAAGAGATCCATTTTTCGCCAAAACCAAAGTTTGCTAACATTGAAAAGAGAAAATTCCAGTTGATGAAGTCAAAAGCCTTCTCAAAATCTATTTTAAAGATCAGCCCAGCTTTCTTAGATTTGACCCAGCTGTCCACAACTTCATTTGCAATCAAAACACCATCCAACATGTTTCTACCTTCCAGAAAAGCAGATTCTGAATCACCAATTATCGAAGGCATAACTAACTTCAATCTATTTGTTAGGACTTTGGAAAGAATTTTGTAGGCGAAACCAATCAGACTAATAGATCTGAATTCATTTAGTGATAAAGCTTTCTCCTTCTTAGGGACAAGAGTAATGAATGAGCTATTCAAACCTAGGATTAAACTGCCACTAGCATGAAACTCTTGCATAAATTTGAGGACTTCACCTTTAAGCACCTTCCAAAATTTCTGAAAAAACATCAGGTTAAAGTCGTTTGGTCCTGGGGCTTTGTTCCTATTACAATCGTTTACTACAGCCCAAATTTCTTCTTCAGAAAAATCTGCTTCAAGAACATGAAAGTCGGTACTGAGTCTAATACTTTTGAATTCACCTTTCAAAGTTGGCCTTATTTTCCAATCATCTTTGAACAGGTTTGAAAAGTGAAGCCAAACCTCATTCTTTACTGAATATGGGTCCTCAAGATTCACACCCCCAACTATGATGGAGTTGATAGTGTTTTTGGTTTGCCTACTACTGGCCATGACATGGAAAAACCTGGTGTTCCTATCCCCTTTCAGATTCCAGTACATCCTAGATTTTTGGAGCCACTCTCATTTCATCTTCTTGCTCAGTGACCACATTTCAGTCCTTTTCTCTCTTTGCTGCATCAATTCACCTTCATCCAGAGGTCTAGTGTCAGCTTTTAGATCAAGATCATGCAGAGCAAATTCAGAAGCTTCTAATTTTTTTTGCAACATTACCATAAGACTCTTGATTCCATTTCTTTAAGACCAACTTCAGGGACTGCAATTTCCTCTTCAAGATGGATCCTGCAGATCCATACAGTTGAAGTTCACCCCAATTACTCTCTACCAAGGAAGCCAGTGATGGATGTAAGGTCCATGCATTCAGAAACTTGAAAGGTTTGGGCCCCCAGTCCCTACCATTCTCCATGAGAAGAAGTGGGCGGTGGTTAGAGATAGTTTTTGGAAGACCCCATAGTTTGAGTTTATATCTCACTAACCATTCAGGACTAAGAAGAAATCTATTTATTCTACTCCACTTTTTCCCTTCAAGAGTATTACACCAAGTGTATTTTCTGCCTAGCATTTGGATATCTACCACCTCACAATTATCAATGAAGTCATTAAACTCCTGCATGCCTCTATTCCTGCAAGAAACTCCTATTCTTTCCCCCGCATTCCTAATTTCATTGAAGTCTCCACCAAGGCACCATGGGTTTACAAAAATTGTTTTCAAATTTAATAGGGTCACCCATAAAGCCTTCCTCCTTATTACATCATTTGGGGCATAGATGTTGACCAGAACACAGTCAAAAGAATTGTGAGCCTTACCTGATAAGAGAATAAAGTTCCTGCTGCTACAACAATCTGAGAGATGAAAGACATCAGGATCCGAGATGCAGATTAATCCACCAGACAAACCTGCAGCATCTGCGGACATGAATTCCATCTTGTCTCTAGGCCAAAAACTTTTAATCCGCAAGTTTGCAACACTTGATTGCTTTGTCTCCTGAAGCAAAGCCATATCTACTGCCCGCTCATGCAAAATCTTCCTGATTTTCCTTCTCTTTTCAGGCCTTCCTAAACCTCTGACATTTCAGCTTAGAATCTTCATGTATAACAGTTATACTCCAGATTGCACCCATAAGGAAACTGGTTATTCCACACCACCAGTACCTCCAGCCATTCTCACTTTATCTTGCTCCTCCATGCATATGAATTTCTTGACAACCTCAGATTCCTGGCCCTTATAGTCAATCCCCAGAGTTTTCCCTAGGTGGAGTGTTTTAAGAGCCTCTTGAAGAATTTCCTTTGAAGAGGAGGTGTGAATTGATTCTGAGGTGTGACTGGGTGAGGAGTGAACAGTTTGAGATCTGGCTCTAATTCCTCTTTTGAACCCATTGCTTGAACCTGCCCCTTTGTTCCCTACCCTTCTTGCAAATCCAGAAAACCTACCTGCTAAAAAAGATTGCTTGAATCCTTCTCTTCCAGCACCTTTCCTTTTTGCCTTTCTTTAAACGGTTGTTGGTGGATCCTGAAGTGGATGGCTTGAAAGTGACGTTGGCCTTAGATTGTGGACTCACTCCAGATGCTTCACACAACTGTTTCATACCTAATTTATTTGATCCATTATTAAAGGGCCTAGAAGGCAGCAAACTCAGATGGCTTGACTCATTGGGCTGCAGCCCATTTTGAACTTGGCCCAAAGCTAACTCTATACAAATGCCAGGTCTTTCTTTTGAAGTCTCACTAAGGCTTTTAATAAAGCCTAAGGTGAGTATATGACCCTCTACTGCGGGGCCTACAATGGGACTAAACTGAGGATCTTGATTGCACTCAACCCTCTTCTGCGTAGTTTCTGTAACTAGCTGCTCTTTTACACCTTTTTGGGCAAAATGATTATACCTCTGATGTAGGCTTTTCACTGACAGTAATGATTCAGCCACACATGTGCCTTCTTCGTTTGAATTCCCAACACAAGCTATAGTCTCTGCTACAACTGATGTGTTACTCCAGCTGCCTCCTACAACCAGCTCATCCATAGCCTTCATCCCAGCTGTTGTACCCTTATTGGTTCTAAAAGACGCTCCTGCCATGTCATCTGCTATGTCACCATCTTCCTCCTCTGGTCTGTGTTCTTGACTGAGTTGGACTACACCATGGATTTTGGAGCAGACAACTTCAACTGGGACCTTAGAGAGTGTGGTTTTACAACTGAGGCTATCATCCATAGCATAGTGCTCTTCAAATACTCGACTAGGATATACTCGTCCTTTACACTCCATATTAATACTTGTATTAATCGGATCCATTACATCAGTAACTAATTTGAATTTGCCTTTTGTAAATGATTTTGGTGCACCAATACTACCATCCAAGAGAACCACCTCTCCCCATAGGCTTCCAATCCTTCTGAATGTATTTGAACTCCAGAGGTTTGGGGGTACCCCAAGACAGCTGATCCAAACTTGTCTCTGTTGCTCCAGCCTGCAGGTACAGACCAGGACTCTAAACTGTGATGTACTCGCACTAGTGATGGAACCATTCCACAACCATGGACTTTTTGCCTAGCAGGTCTTCTTTAGGGAGGAATGAAAGAAAAACATCTCGCCCACCTCCCTCTCTTACCAACACATTGTGCTCTTCTCTTCTGATTAGTTCATTTTTCACCTGTACAGAGGTGTGCTCTGGTTTGAGTCTCATGATCAAACTCTCATAAAGCCAACCGTTGCCTATCTCCTCTCCTCTGATTGTTGTCTTCACAACAAATGGAGCTTTTGGATGATCCCCTTTAATGACTTCTGCAACTTGAGTGGATATAGACCATTAATTTGTCTTTTTGAATAATTATTTTAGTAAGTAGTACAACTATTTTAATCAAGTTTACTTAAGTACAAATAAATTGGTCTATATCCACTCAAGTTGAACTTCAGAGGTTTGGGGGTGCCCCAAGACAGCTGATCCAAGCTTGTCTCTGTTGCTGCAGGTAGGGGTGAGCAGCGGATATACCGATCCGCTAAAACTGACCGAACTGAATCGATCCGCCGCATTTTGGATGGATGCGTGATGACGAGCGGACGGTTGCAGATTGATTTTCTCTAATCCACCAATATAGCAGACGGATAGCGAATTTGAGATTCCTTTGGCCGCAACCGAACCGCCAAACCGCGAGCACCCCTAGTAATTTATAAGATTTTGTGTTTTCAGTTTGTTCAAATATTCTGTTTGTGTTTTCAATTAAAAAATAATTTAAATATTCTGTTGAAAAAAAGTTTTTAACTTGAATATCTTTTTTGAATTAAAAAAAAATAAACGTATTATTTATCTATATTTTTTTATTTTTAAATCTATCTCTAAAATAATAAATAGAAAATATGATATATGTTGGTTGATTTTTGTTTTCAAAAATAGATATAGATGTAACAATATAGAGACATACAATCTTTACTATTACTATGTTCATGGTTTTGGTGGTTTCAATTGTTTTTATATTTTAAAAACCACAAATTGTAATACTTTATGTGGATGAGACATTCTGTGATTGTAGTAGGTGGATGAAGCATGCAGTGATTGTGATATTCTAAAGTTTCAAACTTTCTTGTTTCGGATGAGGCATACAATGATTGTAATATTTTTTTAAGTCATTGACTGTAATACTTTCTTCTTTTTTTTTTTTTTAGGTAGTGCACAAGTTGAATTATGTTGAAAATTTATAAAATTTTAAACCGCCAAACCGATTCGCATCCATCCGTCAAACCGCTAATTCGCTCAATCCACATCCGCCGGATTGGCGGACGGATGCAGATTGATTTTCTCCAATCCGCCAATCTGGCGGACAGATGGTAGATTGGAAGTTCCGTGGCCGCAACCGACCCGCGCCCACCCCTAGCTGCAGGTACAGATCAGGACTCCAAACTGTGATGTACTCGCACCAGTGATGGAACCATTCCACAACCATGGACTTTTTGCCTAACAGGTCTTCTTTGGAGAGGAATGACAGAAAAACATCTCGCCCACCTCCCTCTCTTACCAACACATTGTGCTCCTCTTTTGATTAGTTCATTTTTCACCTGTACAGAGGTGTGCTCTGGTTTGATTTTCATGATCAAACTCTCATAAAGCCAACCGTTGCGTATCTCCTCTACTCTGATTGTTGTCTTCATAGCAGATGGAGCTTTTGGATGATCCCCTTTAATGACTTCTGCAACTTAAGTGGATATAGACCATTAATTTGTCTTTTTGAATAATTATTTTAGTAAGTAGTACAACTATTTTAATCAAGTTTACTTAAGTACAAATAAATTGGTTCTATTCACAAGAAACAATGGTAAACACACATAACAAGATATATGTGGTTTCACAATGAGCTTAAATCCAACGTGGGTAATACAATAATGTTACAAATTCAAAAATAAAAATTTAGAAAGAGCATAGTTTGTTTTCAGTTTACTTTGTAAATTGGACCGTACTCTTTGGGTCTATGGAGCATCTTAATAATGTAAACCGTTCATTTTTTAGATCATAATGGTAGGTCATCTATGGAAAAAGCAAGTCGATTCGATACTCATAGCCACATTAGTTTATTATATTTGTTTTTCAAAAAATGAATAGTCTAATTTTTAAATAATATTTGTTATTTATTTTATTTTTTTTGTAAATAAATATAATGAACTAATGCGGCTACCCTTATCGAATTTACTTAATTTTTTTAATGAATAATTTAAATATTATAATTTAAAAAATAAATAATTGAAATTATTGAAATGATACTTATAATAAACCTCACAACTCATTCAGCACAATCTAATTCACAATGTGAAGTGGAGACAAGCTAAACCTTTGAGAAAATCAACCTCACAGATTCAACCAGTGCAATCTAATTCACAATGTGAAGTGGAGACAAGCTAAACCTTTGAGAAAATCAACCTCACAGATTCAACCAGTGCAATCTAATTCACAATGTGAAGTGGAGACAAGCTAAACCTTTGAGAAAATCAACCTCACAGATTCAACCAGTGCAATCTAATTCACAATGTGAAGTGGAGACAAGCTAAACCTTTGAGAAA